TACTAGGTGTGGGAACTCAGGAAAAACAGCTGAATTGACTTAAAATGTTTGTTTTTCTAAAACACAGACATAAATGTAGGGAATTTCAAATTTATTTGACACTTAAATCCACCAATAACTTCCCAAGGTTGGTCAAAAATGTAAAACTAATCTGCAACAAACTGTCTGTCAAATGGTTTAGAAAGTGAAATCAGGAATTCTAAATATAATGTAAAATAAATAACAAAGACAAAACATAGAATAGGACTGACCAGATAGGCACATAGTCCCCAATATCCGCTCTTGATTTTTTTTTCCAGTATCGACACCAATACAGATATTGCATTGATGCATCTCTAATTATTCTTACCTCCACAATTTCTAACGTATCAGATAATGACCTCAAGCCATTTAGACCAAAGACAACATTCTAATAATGTAATAAACCTTTGAAGCACATTTTACAATTGAACCTGTGGCATCTGAAAAAAGTACAAAAAAGCAACAAAAGAAAGAAAAAAAAGAAAAGTAACTTGACGTCATTTAAAGCTTGAATAGACCTCCTGCCATCATAAACATACATGATTTATGTATAAATATGTGTCAGTCAGAGCCTTTTGTTTCAAGTTAACTTCTGTAAACTGGAGCCCAGCTAGGTTTGACAAACAGATTGGAAGCGAGTCACGTCACTGAGAGCCATGTGTGCGCCCCGAGGTGACCCGAAACGCTGGACCGGCTCTTTGCAAGGTACTTGAGGTGACGTGGAAGTTAGCAGAAAACCTTTAACGGGTTCGCTTCCAATTATACCTTTCTGTTCTTCTTTTGTCTCAGGTGTTTTTATTGATATGCTGCATTTAAAAATCTTTAGAGTACATCCCGATCTGTTCATTTGGATTTCTCTCTGAGAATACAAAAGCAGCCCCGGGCCCGAACGAATTACAGACACTGCCATGGCAAACAAGTCAGAGAAACTGGAGTATTTAGTACTTGGACACATTTAATTTTCCTTCAAAGAGGAAATGGGTTTTGAAGTATGGTGAGTAATGGAGGTGCACCACTGTGGAGAGAAGGGGATCAGTATAACATGAGAATCTTTCCTCCAAATCCTTTGCCATTCCCTTGAATTAAAGCCTGCTGGCAAAGTCATGAAAATGTCATCAAACACTGCTGCTTCAGAGATAATTGTTCCTTCCTTCGTCTCCCCAACATAAAATGCAAAATATGGTCAATGTTCAGTTAAGTAGGAAGCCTTTTCATAACAAAACCATGGATATTGCCATACCTTTGGCTGATGCGCAGGAGATATGACTCACGCATCATACCCAGGACAAGCAGGTTGTGACTTGCTATGGCATAGTGCAAGACATTCATTCAATTACTGATTGCCCGGTCTTTCAGTCCTGAAGTTTGGCTACTGAGACTAATTTAAAGCAAAGGTTACATGCCAAAATGGTGGACAGTGGTGCTGCCAGCCAACCAGGTGTAGCTGAGTTAATTTTATTTTATTTTATTTTTTTTTGGATGAACCTTCTCAAAACACCCTTTTGTTGAATTTACATGATTGTTGTCGCCTTTGCACTTATTTCTGTTTTATACTGTTTTATTTTTGGATCCCAATGTGGCCCAAATCCTCCCCATTATCTGTGTTTTTGTTTTTTCTTGGTTTTTGAATTGTATTTTATTTTGGTGGAGAAGCTTTTATTTTCTTGTTTCCTGTCTCCGTGTCACATCCTGTGTGTTCCTGCTCCCCTCCTCAGTTGCGCTGTGGAGAGGTAAGCGCACAGAGTTGTCTTCTGCTTGTACATTAAAATATTCAAAATGTAAAAAGAAAAAGTATGCTGTTCAACTCATAAGTTGTAAATAGTTGTTTAACTTTTTGATGTTTAGCACAACACTGTTCTGGGTATTTAATTCCCACGTTGGTGACATTTATCCAGTTTACTGTGCCAACATGGTTATTTTATTTTTGTTCTTTTGGTCGGTAAAGGTGTGAGTGGGAAAGCCAGAGCCAGGAGCTGCTGCTGAACATGTTTTTGTTTTAAACAGGAATGTGAGTTATTTCAAAATGTTATCTGGTTGTTAAATGTATGTATTTTGTACATTTTTATATTACTATGTAAAATTGTAACCTTTGGGCAGATTATTTATGTTTCGGTTTTATTTTAGTTGTTTTGAATGAATGCAGATTTTATTTTATTATTATTTGTGAACTTTGGTTGGTTTTAACCCATTCCTGTGAGTTCGCGCCAAGCTGCGCTGGGGAAAGGTGTGTGTGGGAAAGCCAGAGCCAGGAGCTGCTGCTGAACATGTTTTTTTTTTTTTTAAACAGGAATAAAA